TTCTTCCACTGGTTTCTTTAGGTATTTTTTAAGTTTTTGGTTTTATAGTTTATGGGTTTTTTTTTTTTTTCAATCTTGGCTTATATGGAGATTTTCCTGTTATAAGAGATAAGGAATGGATCCAAACCCTCTTTCTTCTTACAGATTAAGCCTAGTTCTTTAAGACATGTTAAAATTTAGCCAAACTCTTACAAAATGCTCTTTCAGTCTCATTTAGCCTGCAGACTTGACTTGGAAAAAACATCAATGGGTACTCACTTATCTGGCTTGTCATTTCAAAAGGTCAGTTTATTATAGTATTTTTAAGTAATTCATTGTTTTTTGAACATGTGTCAGGCACTGTCTTAGGCACTGGAGATACAGGGATGAATAAAATGGGGGAGGCAGAAGTAAACAACTAAAGTAATAGCATAATTTTAGATAGAGATTGCTGTCATCTAGAAAATAAAGGTAGGGACTTCCCTGGTGGTCCAGTGGCTAAGATTCCGTGCTACCAATGTAGGGGTCCAGGTTCGATCCCTGGTCAGGGAACTAGATCCCTACATGCCACAACTAAGAGTTCGCATGCTGCAACTAAAGATCCTGCACACGGCAACTAAGACCCAGCACAGCCAAATAAATGCATAAGTAAGTATTAAGAAAAAAAAAAAAAGAAAGGTAGAAAATGCCGTTAACTTCATGAAAGACATGAGGTCCCCTGTTAAAAAGAGGAAATGATAATAGTCTGTTGTGACTTGTCTCTTCTGATCACATCTTCCTAAAAATTCAGGAACTACTGTATTAGTTATCTATTGCTGCATAACAAATCACCCCAAACTTAGTGGCTTAAAACAACAACGAACATCTCACACAGTATCTGTACGTCAGAAATTTGGGAGCAGCTTATTTGGGTGGTCCTAGTTTGGGGTCTTTCATGAGGCTGCCATCATCCAAAGGTTTGACTGGAGCTGGAAGTTATACTTCCAAGATGGTCACTTATGCTGGCAAGTCGATGCTTGCTTTTGGTGGGAGCTTCAGTTCCACACCATGCAGATCCCTCATAGGCTACTTGAGGGTCCTCACACATGACAGCTTTCTCACCCAGGGCAGGTGAGCTAAGAGAGCAAGGCACAATGTCTTTTATCACCCAGCATCAGGAGTCACACAACATCATTTTCACAGAATCTATTGGTTAAACAGGTCAGCCCTATTCAGCGTGAGAGAGAACCACACAAAGGTATAAATACCAAGAGATAATAATCACTGGGGGCCATCTTGGCATCTGGCTACCACAATCACTAATTGGTCAAATATTCTAGAGAGAAAAATGAAGCGCAGTGGGAGTTCAGTCTCTCACTCATTTGTAGTCAAAGTTGTCTAAGTTTGAACTTTATAAATTAAAAAAATTTTGTCTATAACGATTTTTATAAAGAGAAATTAGTTTTCAAATAATACGTTGAAAATGTATAAAGCTACATATACAACTAATTTGTTCAGCTATGAACATACATCTCCATACTTCACTGCTGCTTCACCTTTACTTGGTCCACAATGAAATCTCCTGCAACTCCACAGATAAATGTTACTTTATGGCACATTTCAACTAGTTCATGCATCATTCACTGCATCAGCTTTGCTCTTAGGCTGGCTTCCTTCAAGCCAAGACGGTTGATGCAGCCTTAGACTTAACAAGGTTCACTGGCAGGAAAAAGAGACCATCTCTTTTAGTATCTCGTCAAGATTAAGAAAACCCTTCCCTAAAATGCTCCATCAGATATTTTTTCATATCTCTTCAGGCTAAAATGGAGTCACATGCTCACCCTTTAACTAAACATTGGCTTAGGCCAATGAGGATTTATCCGGCAGCTAGAGATGGGTTTACCTTCCTCTGCTCAAATTCGGAGAAATGGATACTGAGCAAGATCAAAGCCTGTTTGCAAAGAACATGAGTGAACGGGTACGGATAGCAAGTAGGCAACCATCAGGGGCTGCTTAACACTTAAGACATATTGTTTTGTAGTATAGTAATTTACATATCCTCCTTTCCCATTCATTTTTAAGCTTTCTGAGGATAGATTATACATCTTATTTCTTAGCACTTGCTCAGTGCCTTACACACAATGGGCATTCACTATTTTACTTGGATTTTAAAACTCCCCAAAGAGAATTTCGTATTGGATAGATGGTTTTGAAATTACTTATGGTTCTTTGGATTTACAAAATATTTTCTTCTAAAACTTTAAGAGACTTCCAGGAGTATTTATTTTTATACTTTCATACTCTATGAGGCAGAAGGAAAGAAATGCTGTGCACTAGTTTCATTACCAAAAAAAAAAAAAACCCGAAAAAAACCCAACCCTTTTATTTGATATTTTTCAAAGTCTTACAGTCAACAAGCAAGAGAATTTAGATTTCTTGAATCTCAGTCCAAAGTTATTTTCATTTGTCCATATTGCCTTTAAAAAGACTACTCCTTTAACCAAAATATTCAAGTAACCCATTATTACCTGTATCTGTTATGGTACTGATCATGCTTTTTTTTCTTCTTCCTCTTCCCCCATCCCCTAAATTAATCATGGTTATAAAACTTTTTGCTTGGAGGTCATAATCTGCAGACCGATAGAGGAATTAAAATGTGAAGGTTATGAGCTAGACACATTTCAACCTTAAAGAAAAAGGTTCTTCCTGTGAACAAGGCCAGAATTGACATCACAATGTAACTTGATTAGACTTTTCAAGGAGATGAATACGTATTTTGTTCCTTAATTTAACACCTACTTATTCACTTTTTCTTTTGTTCTTTTCAGATGGGCTGAAACAGTATTACTTAACTATTATTAAATCTGGACTTACGAGAACATTAAGATGAGCCCCTTCAACTATAGGTAACTGATATTTACAGCTCGGGGACTACCACACAATCTGGGAAATGTTAACTGAATCCTTGGAGTAAATGAGGCGAGGTTGTCCACAGACCTAAGACTCTGCTCTCTACAGATCCACCCTTATCTCTCTTAGGGAGGCAATATTTAGGTGCCACTTGCCTTAGATTCTCACTGTATTTAGTAAGAGAATTGGTGATTTGCACGGCTGTCTCCATTGCTAGACTCTAGGCAACTTATGGTTAAGGATGCCGCCTTTTCATACTTTTACCTCAGTGCCAAACACGTACTGGGGCTTAAAAATACTCGTTGAATGAATAAATTTTTTGCTTTCTATGAGGTAGTGATGGAATTGTCCTTGCTCTTGAAAAGTTACCAGTCTCGGGGCTTCCCTGGTGGCGCAGTGGTTAAGAATCCTCCTGGGCTTCCCTGGTGGCGCAGTAGTTGAGAGTCCGCCTGCCGATGCAGGGGGCACGGGTTCGTGCCCCGGTCCGCGAGGATCTCACGTGCCGCGGAGCGGCTGGGCCCATGAGCCATGGCCACTGAGCCTGCGCGACCGGAGCCTGTGCTCCGCAGCGGGAGAGGTCGCAGGGGGGAGAGGCCCGTGTACCGCAAAACAAACAAACAAACAAACAAAAGAATCCTCCTGCCAATGCTGGGGACACGGGTTCGAGTCCTGGTCCGGGAAGATCCCACATGCCGCGGAGCAACTAAGCCCATGCACCACAACTACTGAGCCTGCGCTCTAGAGCCTGCGAGCCACAAATACAGAGCCCGGGTGCCACAACTACTGAAGCCCGCGCACACAGAGCCCGTGCTCCGCAACAAGAGAAGCCACTGCAATGAGAAGCCCGCGCACCACAACAAAGAGTAGCCTCTGCTCGCTGCAACCAGAGAAAGCCCGCGCACAGCAATGAAGACCAAATGCAGACCAAAAAAAAAAAAAAAGTTACCAGTCTCTACATCTTCCCGATAGAAAGAATCTTACTCAAAGGCAAACAGACTTCCCGTTGTTAAATGCTTTTGAACAAAATTCCAAGTCATGAGTTATTCAGCTTTGCACTCACTCATTTTAACCAACCTCTCCTCCACTCTTCCCTTCCATCTTTGGAGCCTCTGCTACATCTCTCAGCATTCTCAATACACCTTTATGTGTACTTGATGGGATACCTGATGTTTTCCTCTCTTGGAAATCACCCTACTGTATGTACACTGTTTACTCTTTTAACTGTCTTCGTATCTGGTAACCTATGGCCTCCCTCATCCCAGATCAAAGACTTAAGGTTTCCAAGCAGGAACAAAAAAAAGTTTGCCAATGCTACTGTGATTTCATGACTTAAGAGAATACCTAAAACTTGCAACAAAGGAAATGTGAAATCCTGTAAGATGCACAACTCCCACTGTCTATCAAGGGGCATTCATTTTCTCCTTCTGCTTCTGACTTTCAAAATTTACAAGCTAATTTTGTTTGCTTGATGTCCACTCTAATGCCAGATGTCCACTCTATCTCAGATAATTGGCATCTGGGTCTCTTACCTACACAAACTTGTTACTGAAAAGCCCTTGGTTTTGAAGTTAGTGGATAGCGGAAATATCATTTCACACTCTAAGCCCGAGTCTGATTTGAAATTGGGTCGATTTCATGCAGGGTCTGTGGAATTCTCCCAGACTGTTGGCCTGTTTCCCACTTTGCACGCCTAGGCAGACTTCGGGACAGAATTACGCTTCTCTAGGTATTTGCTTGCACAAGAGTTTACTGAAACGGTCGCCATTGTGCAAACTCTGTCTTTCCAACGTTAACCAACGTTAAAGTTAAGCCCAAGGAGATGCACCAACGCGTTACGCCGAACTTGCACATTCCTGCAGCGGCTCTCTGCGATGGCCTGCGAACTCCCTCGCAGCCACTCCCGGCCTCCGCGGCGTGGTCTTCCCCTCCCGCCACATTGCCGCCAGTGAGTCGTCAGACGTTCCTTCTCCAGTGCCCCTCCCTCCGCCCGCCGGCCCTTTCCCAGCCTCCTCGGGTTCCTCCCAACCTGCCCCGCGCAGGCTGCGGATGTGCCGTCAGCCGTCGCCCCTCCCCCTCTCCCGGACCTAGAGCGCCGCTCCGCCCCGCCCCCCGCGCAGGCAGCCGTCCCCTACATCCGGGTACCGACTCCAGCCGCCCAGACTCTGGCACTATGGTCATGGCGGAGGGGACGGCAGTGCTGAGGCGGAACAGGCCGGGCACCAAGGCTCAGGTACTATCTCTGCACCTCTGGTGAAGGGGAGAGGGGACTCTTGGTGCCGAGCTGCGCCGCACCTGGAAGGTGGATCCCTCTGCGAGGAGGTTGGGCCGGGGCGACAGGCGGGCGGGCAGGAGCACTGGTGCCCGGCCTGCTCTTCCGGAGCCTCAGCCCCTCGGTTTGGCTGAGGCGGCGGCGGCCCGCGAGGCCTGCGGAGCTCCGATTGGACGGTGGGCGTGAGGGGCGCGTGGGGGCCGCCGAGGCCCCGGGCTGGGAGCCTGTCAGCAGTGACTGCTTGTTCTTGCTTCTCCTCTGATCCCCAGTGACCAGCTTCGGGGAGGGGCGCGGCCGGCCGGGTGGAGACCCCCGGGGTTCTGTGAGTGTCGGGGCAGCCAGGGTGGGAGGGGTGTAAACAACAGCCTACCTCGTCCTGGTTTCCATTTCCTACCTGGCCTGTGACGTGCCCGACTTCTGCCATCCAGCTTGTCTAGCCGGATCCGGGAGTGGATAATTTACTTTATCCTCCTCCTCCTGCTGTATGCCTTTGACCACTTCTCTCCGTAGCTGTTCTCTGGTCCAGCAAGTTTTCATCATCAGGCTGGGACTTGTTCGATGCCATTCCTTGTGAATTTCCTTGTTACTATATGTGAAGCATAGGGAATGAACTTACTATAATTTTATCACCTTTTAGTAGGGCAGTACTTGGGGTGAATTGGTGCTTATTTCAGTATTGATTCTTGGGATTTGCGAAAGACGGGATGCTTCACATTCTTAAAAAAATCAAATAGACCTCATCTGATTAATCTGCCAGGTAAAATGCCTTGCGATTGAGTACAGACTCCAAAATCGGAGGAGATATGTTAAAAATGTAATTTTAAAGAAAAAGAGACGGAGGGGGAGGAAACCAGAAGCAACCGTAGAGCTATGACAGTATGCCAGAGAATACATTTTAATATCTTGCACAGAATTTTGGAAAGGGCGTTCTTTCAAAGGGAACTTTTAGATCCAGACAGCTTCCTAGATGCTTGTTACAGAAAAGGAAACTGAAGCCCAGAGATTAGACTGCATTTGCTCAAGGTTGCACAGTCTCCAGATTCGATTCTTAGTTCATTAGTGACCTTTTCTTTTTAACAAGTTGCTTCTAGTACTGAATTTTAGAGTTTAGTTGGGAAGCCTTTTTTTATAAAGTCACATATGTCAGTTCTACTGGCAATTTTGTGGTCATACTACTTGGAATTTATATATTATTTATGCTTTTACTGTTTCTAAACTTTCTTTCTTTATAAATGATCTTTTCTCAGATACCTTTAATTCTTTTTCTGTGGCAGCATTATTTCTGATTCTTTTAAATGATCAACTTTTATGTTTTTAAATTCAGAAATGGACTTTTGTACTCATTCTGAGAATCATCCATTTTTACTTATTCAGAAGTTCTTAATTTTGAAAGGTTAGAGAATCATAGATTTCAACTCAATATTGTAACACACCTGTTTGCTGTGTTGTTATGAGTAAGTCACCTACAAGAAAACTCCTTTGCTTTTTTCCAGATTGTCATAGATCAAGGTTGTTAAATAAAATGTATTAGAAAAGGTTAAGATTTTTTTTAAAAAGGACTATTTAAGCAGCATTCTGTCATATCCCTTGTCTATCACATTAATTTCCTTCAGTGAAAGGGGTCTATTCTAAAATGATTTATTTAGAACTATAATAGAGTAGGTAGAGTATCTTCCTCCTTTTTTTCTTAAATTGGTTAGATTGGGTTATAAGCACAAAGTTGGTTTTCAGTAAACGTTTAACTGAATTAGATGCGAATGTTCATTAGGCTGGATTTTTGGCTCCTGTTTTTTGTTTTTTTTTTAATATTTATTTGGTTGTGCCAGGTGTTAGTTGTGGCAGGCAACCTCCTTAGTTGTGGTTCGCTGGCTCCTTAGTTGTGGCATGTGAATTCTTAGTTACGGCATGCATGTGGGATCTAGTTCCCTGACCAGGGATTGAACCCAGGCCCCCTGCACTGGGAGCACAGAGTCTTAACCAGTGTGCCACCAGGGAAGTCCCTTGGCTCCTCTTTTAAGTGTTTAAAGTATATCACAGTTATGATGAGGCAAAGCATTTAATTTCCAATTAACTTTTTTACATCTTTTCTGTGTACCACTATATGTGTTTTCTAATATTTTAAAAACAAAATATTCTACAAACTATCTTTTCTTTTTTTTTTTAAACGAAAGAATAGGCAAAGCGTATTGATAGAAACAGTTTTCACTACAAATCAGAAAGGAAGAATTTAAAAACTACTTTCTGGTGATATGTTGATGATGTCTAGGAAAAGACATCCTAGAACAATTTCCAGAAAGTTGTTTTTATTTCTTGACATTTTAAAATAAAGTTCATTTTCATTCAGATAAGGCAACTATTAAAAAAAAGATATGAAATGCTTAAGACACTTTAAAAGGTATACCATACCCATCATCTACTCTAAGAACTAGGACACTACTAATATAGTTAAATCCCTCTGTATTGTGATATTCTGTCTTCTGCCCACTCCCAGCCAGTAATGGTGATTATCATTCCTTTTTTTTCCTTTAAAACTTGTATTATAGATGCATTATATTCATAAGTATGTTTTGCACTTTCTTAAACTTTTATTCATGTGGTATCATGCACTGTATTCTGCAGTTTGCTCCAATTTTTGCTTATGGCCTTTGGAGACTTAATCCATGTTGATCGATACAGGGTTATGGATTGTTGGTTTACTACTACCTTTTCTCAGACATTTATTGAGTACCTACAATGCGTTGGACATTGCGCACCTACAAGGGATATATTTCATCAGTCAGATGGAAAGGTTCTTAACCACTTAGGGGAACGTCTATGAACTGAACTATCTGTAGAGAAATTCAGAACCAGTGCAAAGTGATCCACAGAAATATTCCCCTTAAGAGAAGGTTGTTCTATTTAGATGACTACTTTTTGATGGAGCTCATATTTTGATTTAGAAATTTAAAACACCATTTGGAATTAGAATTATAATTTATAATGTCTGTCTTAAATAATATTTATGGAGTAGTAACTACTACTAACTCTAGCTATTCTCTTTGGGTGAAAACTGATTCAGTTTTTTACTGCCTGGAGATTGTTTTTTTTGCAGTTTAACATTTAGAAAAATATTTAACTATCATAAACAAAAAAGTGATAGGCTTATCAATTAAGTAATACATGAGAGGTTTATGGGAGCCATATTTGAGGGATTTGTGACTGAAAAAAGTATAGCTTATAGTTCAATTAAATAAAATCTTGGTGTTCATTTAAAACATTGAATAAAATTCCTTTAACTTATTCACTAATAATCACATTGTTTACTGTATGAGGGCTTTTCTTCTCTGGTATAACTTCGGATCTTTATTAAGAATTGAAATTAATCATAATAGTATTGCATCTTCTTTGTAACTTTGTACGTGCTTTAATCATGAAATTTTTTTTATAGGATTTCTATAATTGGCCTGATGAATCCTTTGATGAAAT